ATCTACCTGATGACTTTATATCCATACTCAGGTGCCAAGGATCCAAGTATAACCAACTGTGACTACTAATAATCAGATACATAGAGATTCGAAATGCATATGCAAACATCTAAGTGTTAGTAGCATTAAAAATAAGTTTTTCTGTATGAAGCAGTATATTTTAAAATGAAATGGAGATCTTTTTTGAAGGTTAAAACCTCATTCAATTGTATGTCTTATAGGGTTTAAACTGAGTTCAATATTGTATAACTGTATTAATTCAACTGTGAAAATCTTTTTAATTTTATTTATTTTTATTTTATGTGTATGAGTGTATTGCCTGCATGTAGGTAAGTGCACCCGTGTCGTGCAATGCCCACAGAGGTCAGAAGAGGCTGTTAGATCCCTTGGGACTGGAGTTACGGACAGTTGTTAGCTGCCATGTGGGTGCTGGGATTTGAACAGGGGTCCTGTAAGAACAGGAGATCTTTTTTAATGGTTAAAACCTTATTCAATTTTGTGTCTTATAGGGTTTACACTGAGTTCAATATTGTATAGCTGTATTAATTCAACTTTGAACCTAAAAATTTATAGCCACTTTTGAAAGAGATGCATCTTTGCTCTGGAAATTGTTATTGAATATGTTAATGCTGTAATGAGATGCTTCTTTTAATCATGTGGTTATTAAATAAATAATAACATGGCCAGTGGAGCAAGCCAGTAATCAGTGTACCTCCATGGTCTGTGCTCCAGGTTCCTGCCCTGAGTTCCTGCCTTGGCTTCCCTCAGTGATGAACTGTGACTTGAGAGATATAAGATAAAATAAACCCTTTCCTACTCCCCCCAAAAAGTAGAATACATAGATAAATGTTTTTAAAAGTTAAAAAGATAAAAAAATTGTTCCTTATCTTTCTGTGGGTTTACTGAAGTTGAAATTTGTACCTCACCAACTCTTTTTCTTCGTGATCCATCTTTTTGAAGATTTATTTTAAGTCTTTCTTCTCTCTCTCTCTCTCTCTCTCTCTCTCTCTCTCTCTCTCTGTGTGTGTGTGTGTGTGTGTGTGTGTGTGTGTGTGTGTGTGT